TTGCTCCCACATACTTAAATTCCTCTGTTTGTTTTGAGGTGTTGTTTTTTAATTTTTTTTCTTCTAAATTGTCTTTCTGTCTTCCTATCACCATTGTCTCATCTTTGTAGTGTTTATTTTCATATTATATTCCTCCCCTTTGTCACTAATTTGATTTAGGTGGTTCTGTAGGCATTCCGTACTTTTTGCAATAAGTACGGTCGAGTCACTCAAGTCGAATTTATGTTAATTTGTCATGACCAGCTTAGTCCCAACAATTTTCCTTCTTTGTCTTAGTATTTAAAATCCTGATATGTCGAATTAGGTTATCTTGAATATTTGCATAAGTCGAATCTAAAAAATTAATTCAGACTATAAACACGTCCCTGTTGAAGTCGAACGTTTCACTATCACTGTGTGACAGTTATGATCCTCCTCACTGTAATTGCCATTGCACGGAGCATATATTTGGAATAAAACTTCAGAACTATTTTATACTTGTAGTTTCAAGTTTAGAATTCCTTATGAGATTTTGTTAACCTCGAGTATATTTTTTGCAGTTTCGGGATCGTTGATAAATCCTACTCCATGCTTTGCACGTTGTATTTCCTCTACCCCCCGATTGAATCAAAACATAATTTTTATGTAGTTTCTTTATTCCTCGTTCATTCATTCTCACTTCTGATAAGCTTAATTTTTTGACATTATATTTCTCCATTAATTCTATCACTTGTTCTGCTTTATTGCCCCATCCACATATATTGATTGTCCCTACCCTGGTCCTAACCTTCTGCTGGCCTCTATTTTTCTTTTTTCTAAAACATCTCCTATTTTCATCTTGGGCATTTCATTTTGAACCACTGAATCCTCCACCGACTTGCCGAGCCTGTCACAAATTCACTTCAACTGAACAGCTACATTAAGCTAACACATTTAACATACTTTCCAGGAATAAACACATCTTTTTGTCACATTTTCGGCGAACCTAGTTTACGCCGCCATCTTGGCCAGATGGCTATTATCTATTATTATCAATTTCATGAATGCACATTCCTTTGTTAACAAAGTGATGTTCTTCTTCGCGTTCACCTGCTACATGTAACCACTAAACTTCATCAGAAAGTTCTGGTTTTTCGTCCACTTATGGACACCAAAGTCTTGTTAAAGATACTGAGTGGTGCATGCACACCTGTTTTATACTTTTATAGATCTGATGTTTGTATTTATGCAGAATGTTGGTTCCTTGCCTGTCAGGCAGGCGCACTCCAACTTTGAGTGATGCTCCCAATTAGTTGATTTTTACAACATGCTTCTGGATAGTCAGTAGGCCTATTCTTGATTACCCTACAATGTGGCCCCAGAACTCACACAGGGAAACTGTTAATCTTTTCTTATGGCCTATGCGAGTTTGTGCTAACAAAATGTTGCTGAAACCCTAAAGAAACCCTATAGATTGTATTTTTATTTTTTTTTTATTTTTAGGAGCTGGTGTATGGGTTTTCAAAGGGCACCTAGTTGTATGTATCTTCCAAGTCTAGTGTCACATCACGTTGCCACTCCTGCATGGAAACCTTCACAGACATCATAAGCAAAAACAGCAGCAATACTCCATGTATCCCTCTGTGGTCTACATCCTCCCAATATTGATGGTGCCTGTTTTTTATAATTTCTGAGTAATTGTTCTTACCACTTTTTTCTAACAGTTTTCCAATGGTGTTTTGTAAAGTGATAATTCAATAACTGCTTATAGAACATGGTTCTTTGCCAGGCTTGGGCAAAGGTATTAGAGAACTTTGGAGACCTCTTATATTTACTAGGTCCGTCCTTAAGCTATTGTTGTATTCATTGCACAGTTCTGATAGTTCCTCATCTGTTAGTTTTGAAAAGTCTTTGTATCAGACTCTAGACCCAGTGCTGAATTACAAATTTTTTTTTTTAAAACTCTTCGGGTGCCAAGGAACACATCATGCCCTGATTTATAACTAATTTAACTAGCCTCTGGGACCCAAAGAGTCAAGAGTGCATATTATTTCATATACAGTGATATAGAGCTCTTCTTCAGGAGTAACGATTTTACAAAAACCTGTCAATGCTTCGATGACATTTGTTCGACTCTAAGTATCAGTCAGGTTTGTTTGCTGCAAATATTGGTCCAAAAGTTAACAGGCCTTTGCTTTCATCCCTTCTGTGCCACCTGCCATCATCTTCCTGAATGTCAGGCAAGATATATTGTCATGGTTTACCAGTTATAGACTGCTGTAGCCGCCAGAAATGCTTTATTGAAATTTTTCTTTTACAGCCCAGTCTCTCACAGAACTCTTCCCATATTACATTTTTGCTCTGCCATGCTACAGTTTTGAAACGATTTATTGTTTCTTTCATGGTTTGTATGAAGGTATTAAGCTCATGGGTGCTGCCTGTCTTCTGCGCTTTTTGCCAATCTCGGACAGCCTGCCTCTTTGCTTGCCAGCATTTTTCTACTTCCATATTTCAGTAGGGAGGTTGTGATGTTGGCTTCTTGTATCAAATGATTTTGGCAGCTGATTCTGCTAGTAATGTCATTGCCAATATTTTCATATTTAATGTTTCCTTATAGCAGGTGGGTTAGTAGTTTGAGATCCTTTAGCAGCACTACACTTGGAAGATGCTCACTGTCAAGGTAGCCAATAAGGTTCCAATGATATATGGAGGCCAGAATTGGGATAGCAAGAGCCAAGTCAATAACACCATCTGTATTAGCAGGGCATAGATCTAGTCGAGTAGTTCTTCCATCATTTAGACATACAATATGTACCAATGCCTCTTCCAGGTCTTCACCTTGTAGATTAGAGCGGATGTTTCCCCACTGTCTTCTTCTTTCATTGAAACGACCACCGAATATCACCTGGCCCAAGCTTTGGATATTTCACCTAAGAAACACCATGAAAAAGTACCCCTCATACTTCTGTTGCAGACATACACTTTTTCTGTTGTAAAATGCTTTGAAGCCAAGTAAACCTTACTTCTTTATCATTGAGTTATGTTTCTTGTAGCGATGATGTCAGCTGCGTATATTTAACAGGCGAAAATGCTCTGTAATGTCATCATGTGTTAAGTTTTGTTTGGTAATGACCCCTGACAAAGGAAAGCAAGCTCAGTCTAGAAAACGCAAGAAGCGATTTGGACAAAGGCGAAAGTGACTAAAGTGTGAAAGGTCAGGCTCAGACATACACAAATTCTGTATTGGAACTGTGTCAGTCTAAAATAGTGAGGAAGCACATGTAGTTATAAATGTGTGCATGTGAACACTCAGACCAATGCATGAATGTATTCTCAGACATGCACATATACAAAGCATGATCAAGTCAAACCCATCCAATTTGCTGTATTACAAATGTATGAAAGGTGTATTAACATGTGTAGAAGACTTGCAGCAACTGCAGGTTTTCAAAAATTCATCACACAATATTCAGATGTTTTCACTACATGTCTGCTGTTTTGTTGCCTGGCTTATAGCACCACACTTCATTGCCTGCCACTTATTGTAGCATACACTTATCAAAGTTCTGTAACAAAGCAAGTGGTTCAAACTCTACCTCATTCATTCTTTGCAGATGGTATCAACCCTATCCTCAGGCAGTGGGATGTGTGAATAAGTGTATAGCTTTTGGTGATTCCAAAACGATGTTTCCTTCCTAGAAATTACTGTATTCAATTTTGTCACACCAACTATTTCACAATATTTCACAGGTTTGCAATAATGTTTTTATAACTGTGGGAAAGAGTAAATGAGAGAGAGAGATAATTTTCACATTTAGTACTTCGTTATATCCTGCCCTTTATACAAAATGATAGGACTCATTTTGGGAATTAATTTGTTTTATCTGGGCTGGAATTGCCAGAAATTCTGTCATATTGCTAATATTGCTATTTAAACCAGCAGATAACAGAAAACTAACAAGTAGGTATTTATAAAATAAACTGATGGCATTATAAATTTTCAAGTTTTTGCTAATTTTCTGTTTGAAGACACCACTAATGTCTTCTTTATTAATATGTTATGTGAGCTTTATTATTAATTTGTTTTTGGAAAATAGACTCTGACTGAAGCAATAAGCTAAAGATTGCTGGGATAGGGAAGCAGTATGCTAGTGATTGCTGGGATAATGATCATGTAGAATGTTGAATTACGAATTAACATCACAGCACTCGGGATGCTCCCAAAAGCGCTCCGTCCCCATTTTCAGCAGGAAGCGAAGAGTTCCAATTCTGATGACACCAGTAACTGTCTTATTTTATATCCTTCTCATCCTTCCCCTGAGTGTTGAGCCTTTTTTTGGTACTTAATAATAAAAAGGATAATGTAGAACTGGTGTAAAATAGAGTTCAGTAGACATTGTGTATAATGAAAACAATCTGCATTTGTTTTGAAAAGGAGATTGAGCGTCTGCATATGTTCATTGGTATTTTTGTTTAATAGTAGTAGTAATATTGTCTTAGATTAAACTAGTAGTCTCCTTATGAAGACCTTGGCACTTGATTTGTGAAAGGGCGGCAATAGTACTGGTGGGTTTGTGCTGTAGAGAATTTTTTTTCCCTTTGATCCTTTTAAAGGTGCAGCATAAAGTGCTCACAGATGTCACTGGAAGATCCTGGCTTTCAAGGCAGTTTACAAGAAGTACATACTAGAAGGAGTTGATGATAATATATTCTTCTGCTTATTAAAGTCCATGCCATGTGGGGTTAGTAGTCATGTCTATCAACAACCTTCTGTCTCGTGTACTTTCAGTTAACTCTGACACAGATGATCCTCTATCCATGATGTCAGACTGTCCAGCATGTGTTCACTTGGTCTCCCTCTGCCTCTCCTCCCCTCCAGCCTTCCTACTGTCACAATGTACTCCATTAATATATTATTATTTAATAATTACATGCAGTTAATTTTAAAATGTGTATGTTTTTGTTCTTGAAATCTAGAGCACTTCCAACAAGACTACAACTACACCAGAGCATATGTCATTAGTATGATGCTGGAGCAGAAAATGATTTCTAATGTGTCGAAAATAGTTCATGATAAAGGTATGGATATACATTTTGTAGACTGATGTGTGGGCATAGATTTATAGTATATATTTAAATCTAAACATAGTTTCAGAGCAGCTATGGTGTGCAGTAATAGATCTGTCAATATTGTAGGTCTTGACATAATTAGGCTCTCAATCCCAGGCAGTTTTATGAAAATTATTTGTTACTTTTTTAATGAGTATAACTTGACTTTGCTGTTTGGGGGGAAAAATATCCTGCTACTGCTCTGTATTGAACTGTGACCACTGTCCTGGTAAACAAGCATACATAACTGTCTTCTGTCTAAACCTTATAATTTCAGCATTATCTCACAGAAGACTAATGTCTCTATCTGCTTCATCTGTTGACATTTCATCTGTAACTTACCCACAGTTTTGATGAATGATCTTTTGACATTTACAGCTGTCAGTACCACATACTTTTTTTAAAAAATCTTTTTCTCACACACACACACACACATGAGCATGCTTAGATGCACACACACAAATATATATGAATGTATGCCTCCTGGAAAATCATGCATTTACTTTTGCTAAAATGTAATGATAATCTCTTTTTTTATTTTTAGACTTAAGTGATAATCAATTCTGCAAGACATAAAATAAGTCAGTGGCTTGTGACTAGAAATATGCAATAGATGTATAGTATCTCATTTGGTTAGATGACATTGCAGGGTCAACAAAAATTCATGTAAATTCAGTATGAGCCAGAGAACTCTCTGTCAGAACAGAACCTATAACAAAGCTATTTAACTGGCAACTCTGGGCCAAATCTGGCCTGCAGAGGCCTAGCTAGTGGCCTGCCGAATGTTGCCAAAATAGTGGAATTTAGCTATTTTAAAGAAAAATCAATCAGTGTATTCTGTATAAATCTTCAAAAACTAGTTATGAGGAATGTCTCAATAGGAAATGTTTATCAGCAATCTGTAAATGTGATGATACTAGGAAACTGCCACCAACGAAGTAAAAAAAAAAAATACCACAGCTGCGGGATATGTCTCATGCATGGAAATGTAAATAGTTCAGATAGTTAGCAAAACTTGCCTGGGGGGGGGGGGGGGGGGGGGGGGGGGGGGGGGGGGGGCGAATGTACTAGGTGAAGTCAATAAGTAAGTCCCAAATGGTTGTTTAAGAAAACAACTTAAGATAATAACTTCAAAATCGTTCATTTTTACACATACTCTGTGTCTCGCTTATTTTTCAAAATGTCCACCAACATTGATGCACTTGTCCTATTGTTTTATCAGTCCTCCCAAACCTGCTGGATAGAATTGCATGCTCTGTTTTCTAAACCACATTTTCACTTCACATTAATCTTCTGCGTCATTTGCGAAATGTCTCCCGCCAAGGTGGGTTTTCAGTGGACTGGAAAGGTGGAAATCGCTAGGGGCTAAGTTGGGGCTGTAAGGTGAATGTTCCAGAAGTTCCTATCCTATATGGTTTATTTTCTCCTGAGTAAGCTGAGCATATGTGGTCTGGCAGTGTCATGTTGTAGTCTCAACAGGACGACCAGATTAGACTTTGTGAATTATTTTAGACCGTCCTTGAGATTTTTTTTGAAAACCCAGCTATTCACAGCTTTACAGGATAAAAATTTGTCAGCATAAGCAGGAAGCATCTCCTTATGAATGTCTTTTGCAATTTGCAGGTAGCCCTTTTGTTCCCCCGCCCCACTCCATCCCCCAAAATGCACTAGAGCACGTTGTTCTTTGAGAGTACAGTCGTCATTTTGGTTTTGTGTTGCAAATGCGTATGCAACACCTAGCGCCACCTAATGAATAGAGACATAAAGACACCTTTAGTAACCACCAGCTACATTTTACTGCCATCCCATAACCTTTTGTGACTTACTTATTGACTTCCCCTTGTAATAAGATTAGCTGGAAAGAATCAAGTAACTGGTAGAAAGCAACAGCTCTACAAGTCAGTCAATGGGGGTGAGATATTTATTTGTCAGGAGGGTGTATGAAAATACTAGCACAGTCCTGACAGCGCTTTGATTGCTGAGAAACATTCCTAAATGGTGACCACTAGTACACACAAACTGATGACACTGGGTGCAGCAGAAAATTAGTGACACTTGACACTGCAGAACACCTGCTAGTGGTCTTGTTATCAGATTATAATTAGATTTTCGTGAATGTCCAGTCACAACCAGACATAGATTGCCGCACACAATTGTGTAGTGACGGACTGAATCAATAACAGTGTTTGAAACTATCTAAATTTTAATAATTTGGTTAAATACTTTGTGCCATGGCTAGTACTAGTAAGAGAGCAAAGTGGGAATGTGAAAATCCTCATTCAGCAATGACTGGACACTTAAATATTTATTTATGTCACTAGCTATGCCTAATTCAAAATCTGTTTGCTTGCTATGCAATGAATGTGTGTCAGCAGTAAAGGAATACAACGTGGAGCAGCATTTTATAAAGAAACATGCAGATTGGGGAGAAACATATCCACAGGGTTTCACAGCTAGGATTGTATGATAATTGCTCTGACTTTACACCAGCCACATTTTATAAAATTAGCTAAAAATGGAAATGTAACTTTTTCCATCCATTACATTTTGCATCGTTATAACTTTCTGGGTTTTTTTCCGGCACAAAGCTATATGAAGCAAACTTTGGATGGTTACTATCTGGAAACTTCAGGATAATGTGGTTAAAAATGAGATTAAACAAGAAATGACAAAGTTACTAAATAACCTTCTAGGCAAATATTCAGACATCGATTTAAAGTGGACATGTTTTAAGACGTCTATGCTCAGCACACTTCGAACTAAATATGGAGTCGTAACGGTAGGTCGCGTAAAACATTTAAGAACTATTGTGGAACAATGAAGTTAATGTCAGCGTATCCAGAAAGAAGGAGGAATATTTAAAAAATGGCCTAAATCAAAATCATCACATGAAGATTATGTCCATTACAGATTAGTAAAAAGAGAAGCAAAACAAAAAGTCTTGGAGAAATTATGGTGAACAGATGGCTACCCTCAGCAAGAACTCCCCTAGAGAATTCTATAAACATGTCAAAATCATGAGAGAAAGAGACATAGGCTACAATCCAACAGCTATCAACAACATGAGAGGCATACCTCTGTTTAGTCCACAACAGAGGTTGGCAAGATGGGCAGAATATTTTCAAGAACTTCTCAACACCGCAAACAACGTAGATCATTTTAACTTTGTACCTTGAAGCTGCAAACAAGAGGAACCAAATTTTATAGCAGCGGAAGTAAGAGCAGCCCAAGAAAGCACCAGGTCTGGATGGAATTAATACAGAAGGGATCCAAACATGCCAATAAGTGGGGGTTAAATGGCTAACTAGAATTTTTAATATAGCTTGGGAAACAGAAAAGTCCTAGCTGAGTGGCAACAGGCACTATTAGTACCGTTATGGAAAAAGAAAGGTTATAGTGAATATGAAGCATACAGATGTATATCACTATTGAGTCATGTAGGGAAAATGTATGCCAAACTACTAGAACAGAGAGTTAGACCCATAGCTGAACAACAGTTGAGTGCATCACAATTCGGTTTCAGAAAAGGCAGAGGATGCACAGATGCATTATTCATTCTGAGGCAAGTGTTTGAGAAAGCCATTGATTATAATACCCAACAGAATATTGTGTTTGTAGATCAGAAAAAGGCTTTCGATAGAGTGGATAGAAACAAACTGGTCTGTTCTTAAGAACTACAGGGTACAAGGACAGTTACTAGAGAACATCATAGTCATGTACCACACAAGCAAAAGTGCAGTAAGAACACAAGATGGTATATCAGATATGTTCAGTCAACACAGGTGGGAGACAGGGATGTGTGCTCTCCCCACTTTTATATAGACAGACTATCTAAAGAAGCAGGTTCTGATAAAGGCAACATAGATCTTTATAATCATTAGGAAGTACAAACATCAGAAGAAGTAATTGATTCACCCACATTAGACAACCAGCGCTTGTTCTAACCTGAAGAAGATAGACTGCAAGACCACATTAACAGGTTAAACTACATGAAGATCAATGCAAACAAAACCGAAACAATGCAAGTTAGTAGAATCCCTGGCCCACTACACATACAGTTGAATGGTTCTGGTCTGTATCAGGTTAGGGAGTTTAAAAATTCTAGGAAGTATGATCATGGAAGATGGTAGAATTAACAGAGAAATAGAAACCAGATGTCAGAAAGCAAGTGTACTTATATACCAATTGTCACTATTATAAGGCATGCACACATAATTATAAGTGCACGGAGACAGATTATAAACAGCATATTCATTCCTACATTAAGCAAACAGTGCCAGACATGGACACTATTTAAAGCCCATATACGCAAAATCACCACCAGCGAGATGAGGTGCCTAAGAAAAGCATCAAACCTAACCATCCGAGATCGAGTGAATAATGATACTCTCAGACAAATTGTGGGAACAACACCTTGTACTAGATTTATCGAGAAACAGCAGATCAAATGGTTAGGCCATCTTGTTAGAATGCAGCAAGATCAGATACCATCACAAGCACTACATCTTAGAAGATCAGCTACAAGAGCAAGAGGACAGCCGTGTAAAGTATGGATTGCCAACATTAAAGACACTACGCGCTCACAGCATGACAATAGCCATTGGCAGCAATGTGCACTGGATTGCAAATTATTCCTCCCCATGGCGCTTAACGGCAGAAGTGGTTTATGATGACGAATTGAAGTGACAATGCTAATTTATATTCATAATTTCAACTGCAAGTTGGAAATACATATTTCTTTGTTATTTTTCTATTTTCAGTGTCATATAATGGTCAATACAAAGCAATGAGTTTCAATTGTGAAGGGGCTTTAAATGCTCTTGCTGTCAATAAAGATTTCTCTCAAGTTGTTGTTGCAGGACGTTCAGGTGAATGATTTGTCTAATTACATTTTTTAAATAAACTTCTGCAGCCTCACGTGAAGTTTGAATATCTAAGTTTTACTTTTAAGTATTTGTTTATTTTTTTAGAAATTTTTTTGACAGCAGTATCTTTCACCATGGATGCCAGGTGACCATTATTTTCAAACTTCCCTTCATTGTGCACACTAGATCCAGTGTTCCATGAAAGAAACACTATCATTTACTCTTATTATTTATATATATGTACACTTCACAGATTTAAATATCGATACTAATACTACAAGTAATGAAACTGATGTCTGGCTGTGAAATTACAGTTTTTTTTCTTCCATTTCTGGCTTGCAATTGTATTTTATCTATTAACACGTTTGTGAAGGATAAGTAAGTAGTCAAAGTCTCATAATTTAGCTAGGCTACAGTAATTTGTGATGATTTAAAAAATTTTACATTAATTTTTACATATATTTAAAGTTTCACGAGTGACCTATCAAAATTGTTGAAGGAAAGATTTTTTCAGTGACCATGCTGTTTCAGTATTATGATTCAAAAGTTCATTATAATTATATTATACAGACAATTAATATGTTATCTTTGATTATTTTTTAAAAATTGACCTGACTTGAAACATTTTGAAAGTCAGTTTTGTCACATCTAATGTATATCACTATATCTGTCTTCAGGATGATCTCAGCCAGTGTATTTTTATCCAAAATTATTTATTATTATTATTTTGCATCAACATCATAATTCTACTTCTTCTTTGCATTTGGTTTCGTATGCTCAGATCAGACCATCAGGTCGGTTGCCTCTATGAACTGGCATGTTGGCAGCAGGTCCTTCATGGTTCCCCATCATCAGTAGTTTGGGGGGGGGGGGGGGGGGGGGGGGGGGGGGGGGGAGCCTCTTCGAAGCTCAGAATCAGGGGCTGTTACCACCTGGCAGTAGTCCACAGGCGCCCCATAACGGTGTAGGTATCAATGCATACTCATTAACCGTTGGTTGCGTTGGTGTCCGTTTCCATTTCTGGGTGCCCACGCTATTCAGGCCAATATGCAGGTCTTCGGTGGGGGAAACAACGGAGTCTCCCTATCCATGTCCTGGTTCATCCAAACACTGCCTACCAGAAATTGTAGGTTGTGGGGGTTTCCCTTTTCTGCCTTTAATTATCCAGGGTGGGCTTCCTGGGTGTGACCTTGGTGGAAATCGGGACATGTCCACGCATCGGTTGTCCAAGCATTAGCCGCACCTTATGGGGAGTCACACTGCACCAATAGTTTCTGTCTGGCTTACCCCAGCCATAGCCTGGTGTTTCGTTAACGATGGAGACAACAGGTAGCACCACATGTAGGTACGGTTGACTTGATTGGCAGAGGCTATGAGTTCCACGCGAGCATTACCCATTTTTTTTAGGTGGGACCTGTACATACTAATCCTTGCTACCCAACATGAGGAGTGGCTAGCTGGACGGTTAGAATACTGGACTCTCAAGCGGGAGACCTGGGATTGAATCCTTGGTAAGGCTGGGGATTTTTGTGTGTCTGGAGCAAAATAAAATCCTCACCTGCACAGTTGTGGCGACAGCACTAGATATGTGGCTCAAAGACTCCCCCTGCCTACACCGCAAAAGTGGTATAATAAAGGCAGTAATTGGCAGTTGGCTGCCACACATCAAAATTGATAAATGTCAGTTAAAGCAAAAAACTTAATATATCTAGGGAGCATATTTTTCAGAAATAAGGAGAATAAAAAAAGAAATACAATAAAGATGCAATAAAGCAAATCAAGGACAGATGTTACTAGCATTGAAATACAGGCATGTGAATATGAACACTTATAGCACTGTTCAACACAGTTGAGTTGAGCTGAGTTAAGAATTGACATCACAGCACTCGGGGCATTCCCATATGCGCTCCGTTCCCCATCCTCAGCAGCCAGCGTAGAGTTCCAGTATTAAAAATAGCAGTCGTACATTCAACACAGTATTTTTACTAAGGCTGTGCTGTCAGTGTCAGACTTGGGTTCACCTATTATGTTAGGTGTAATAAGGAAAGAATGACTTAGGAATGATGAAATCAGGAGGAGAGTCGGCATCCATCTTTACCAGTGTGTTTAGTAAAAATCTCTAGTACTTTGTAGTTAAGAGAACCCAGCAAGCATTGAAATGAGTGATGTCTTACCACTAGTTTGTATAGCTTACAACTAGTTTGTCTAGCTTTATAAATATAATTTAAACTGAAAGATAATTTTACAGTAGACTGGCAATCACTTTTTATTTTAAAATACAACAATCCGGAGTCTCCCTTCTAGGATATTAAAAAAAAAAAAATCAGTGCAAACACATTCTTTAGTACTGGTAAATGAACAGCACATAAATAGTACATACCCACAAAGAGCTAATCCATAGTTTATATAGTTACATTGCATAATCATTTTGGAATACAATCACATTTATATTGCGTGTATAAATCCTAATTACTATAAGTTAGATTAAGTTAGATATCCAAAATATATAACACACTGCTTTATAAAAAGTTTTTTATCAGTCGTATTTCACTTAGATCATATTATCACCAGTTGAAAAACAGGGTTTAAATGTGTTACATTGTTAAATGTCAGTGTGAAGCCAGTGTAGTGATTATGCGCTGTGATTTTAATGTGTGTTTGATGCCTGTTTAGTTGTATGGAAAAATGTTGGTCCAGGAATGTTGCTCTCACAACAGAGTCAGTGCGATTGAGCTGATATCCTCCTGTTTGCTTCACTGGCATGTAATATCATGTCCACACTAAAAGGAAAAGACGCAGTAAATACCACTTGTATTGCAAAATTATTTAAAAAGTTAAACTTTCAGAGATTAGAAGATCTCTGCTGAAATCAGAAATGATAGGTCGAAAGAATGTTCATACAAGGTCCGACAAGTAAGTAATGAGACTGATTTTATTATGGCCAAGACAAAGATGTCATATTTGAAGCAAAGCATGGAATCCAAAGAGACAACCTTCGTCAATGATTTGGCAACTTTGCATCGCCGCCTGATAAGTAGACGACAAACAAGCCACCATTTTATTGACCTAGTTAGATGTGCATAGTTACAAAATCAGCATGGAGCAAAAGCTAACATTATATTCTGTTTAAAACTCCATTGAGACAGCTGAATTGATGCAAAAAGTTTACGGGGATAATTGTTTATCTCATGCACAGATTTTCAGGTGGTATTTACGATTCAAAAGGGGTCTAGAAATGATTACTTATGCAACTAGACCTGGACACCCAGTCTCTGTTCATAATGAGGAACTCATTGCAAAAGTCGAAGAACGGATAGAAAAAGATTCTTGTTTGACTGTGAGGATGATGGCCGATGAATTTGGTAATAATAGAGAGACCATTCTTAAAATTTTAGTGGAAGATTGGGGCACAAAAAATGTTGCTTGTCGGTTTGTACCACATTCTTTGTCTGATGACCAAAAACATCAGCGTGTTGAGTACGCAAAAGACATCATCAAAACATGTCACAGAAATAAAGATTTCCTAAATTTGATTGTTGCAGAGGATGAAACATGGATTTTCTGCTATAATCCCACAACTAAAAGCCAAAGTGCTCAGTGAAAGTCATCATCATCACCAGAAGGCAGAAAAATCTGTCTTCAAAAGTCAAAAGTGAAGACCATGCTGGTGTGCTTCTATGACAGCAAAGGAATTATTCACAAAGAATTTATTTCAGAGGGATAGACTATCACAGCCACAGTTTATTTAGTATTTTGAAACATCTATTAAAAGGAATTCTCAGAGTCTGACCCGAATATTTAACACCTCACAGTTTTTTTCCTTCTTTATGACAAACACTATCTCACTGGGCGGTAGTTGTACAGGAATTTTTGGCCCAAAAACAAGTGTGTGTTCACAACCATCCACCCTACTTCCCAGATTTGTCTCCCTGTGACTATTTTTTATTCCTAAAATTAAAGTTACCATTGAAAGGTCGCTTCTTTGACCATATTCATGACATCCAAAGGGCCATAACAGCGACTTTAAGGGCCATAACAACACAAGAACTACAGAGGTAATTCCAGTGTTTGTTAGATCTTGCCACTTGCTGTATCAATGCACAAGGGGCTTACTTTGAATAAAATACAGGTTATATCTTCAACTGTTAATTATTTTAATTTTTATGGAATTAGTCTCATTACTTAATTGTCGTACCTTGTATTCTCTACGGGAATGTGCCAGGTCAAGCAAAGATGACATATCCCGAACAAATTACTATATTGTGCTGACGTTATTGTTCAGCAAGAAACACACTTAGGCGTTAATACACCGGTTTTCTTAAATTTCAAAACAAACTACACCGGGTACAGGCTATCCTCATTAAGGTCCACGATGTTGACCAGGTAAAAGCTGTTAAGATACATGCGGCATGACCTTTCATGCTGGTTAATATTTGTGTATGTGACAGCAAAGTTGTTTTTATTGGCACCTTTCCATCTTTTCATGTGATATTAATGTTACACTATGCTGTGATGAGGTATAGGACTCACATCTCACGGTGATAGCGAGTATGACTAGAAAACTCTACTCTAGTTAAGAAAAATCTTCCACGCTTAAAGCATGGGATTTCAGTTGTTATTGCCATCATATGTATTTAGTGTGTGTCTTCTGCAATCATTTCTGCTTACATTCTTATTCCCTTCCTAATTTGCCCCCTCCATGCAACATGGTTTATGACATTTTGTTCCCATGCATACACTTCACTACCTGTATCATTCATGTCCCACATGTACACATTTTTATATCATAGTAGATGCTGGTCTTGACATCTTCTACCCATCTGTAATTCACTGTAGAGGATGTTCTTAGGGTCTTTGCTATCCTCCATTCTCCAGATGTGACCCAGCCACCTGAACCTTCAGATAATGAGCATTTCTGCTTTTTCCAGAACCTCAGTTTTTTGTGATATTGTCTTGCCACTCAAAGCCAAGTAATCTTCTTAGGCATTGCATGTGAAATCTTT